ATCTGATACATGTTGCAACATCTCTTTGCTTGTGTGTACTTTGCATTGACTTTTCTGGTACATTACTAATCCCTCAGAGAGATTTTGCTTCCAAAAGATGTAGATAATTAATACAATTATTTATTTTTAAAATGTATCTTGATTGGCATGAAGATTGCATGCTATATCCAGAATTTGGGGGGGGGGGTTACTGGTGATTGAGTGTTTGGGTTATATCCAATGATAGCAAATTGTTAGGAGAAAGTGCTGTTTGTATGGCAGAATACCCAGTTTTCATGAATCCTTGGTAGTCTTATCTCCTGATGAACATCCCCAAAATGTGCTGCAGAATATTTGGGGATCTTTTTGAACAAGAGGGATGTGGCTGAGGGGGCTGCACTGAATAGAGGTAATAAGTGAAAATTGGGGCCATATGCTAGAGGAGGAAGATTCTTTCTGTAGTGCAAAGCCACCATTGGATATACCCAATGTCCTTCTTGATACAAATTTCTCAGGAGCAGTTCCTGAATCATATGGTGATCATCTTTATGTGGTTCAGACAGAGGCAGTCCCTTATTCCCTGATGTGATTTGTTTCTTCAAAGCCAATTATGGGTACTCTGAGGGGCAAGAACCATGGTATTCAGATTTCAACACTGAGAGTTTGCTAGGTGGCAGCAGGAGGGTTGAGGTTCTTTTCCGATATCATAGGAAGAGGATAGCCATTCCATGCACTTCTGAACAGAGACTTAATCTGATCCCACCATTCAGTTGTCAGTCGAGAAGTCCTGGGATGGTGAGAGTTGCTTATACGTAGGGCCAATTTCTCATTTGGAACATGCCATGGAAGACAGGTGTATTCACCAAACTCAGGTAAGATAGGGAGCCAAGAGTGTCTGGGTACCTTAGTACCTGGAGACATCATTTTCCCTCTCCCTGGTTACCCTACCATCCAGTTAAGAGATGCTTTGGGATTTTACATTTGAAGCAATCTTGAATCAATAATAAATCTCAAAACTTTACATATGATTTAGTCTTGCTTGTGACTGCCACTTAGAAATATGAAGCAATGTCTTGCCATGAGCTGTTTTGTTGTTTGCTTTTTTTTTTAATGACTACAACATCTGAAGTTGGTTCTGCTCAAAGGGGTTGGTAGAGTGTAGATCTCTTATTTGAGAAAGCACTGTGATCCTGAAACCTGCAACTCTTGAGTGTGCAGATCAAGTTAGTCCCAGTGTGTAAACAGTGATTTACTAGTGAATCTTTCAGCCAATGTGGGAGATCAAGGAGAGTCAGCACAGGAGTAAAATCAGGGACGGATGATCATGAGTGTGTGTCTGTTTTTGAAGCTGCTTGTGAGGACCATGCATTAAGTGCATGCTATGGGATTTGGGTGGTAGACAATGCAGTTTTGGATTTTGTGAGATTCCGTTTTTTCTTAGGATTTGCTATTTGGTGATTACAGAGATGTACATAGGGGAAAAAAAACATATACAGGCATTGGAGTCTGCTATGGCCTGAATGCTCCTTCATGTCCTCCAGGCTGCTTCTCAGAAGTACAGAAAGTGGCCAAAGAAGGGTGGGTTGGGCTCATAAAGAAGTTCCAATCCTTCAGTGGGCCTGAAGATTACTCTGTCTTTGAGCCCAGGATTTCCTCCCTTGTGTCTTTTGAAGGGAAACTTCATGGCTTCTCTTATCTTCTTAGAATATTGTTGAGAGGAAGGATTTGTCTCTCCCTGTGATAGCTGACTACAGTTAGGTCACACAATTCAATCCTTCCACATCTTGTCCCAGCTTAAGTGGCTCTAAGTGCTTTCATGGTGCTATTTGTTGATATTGCCAGGGACACTAGAAAGTAGTTTTGAAGGGGATATGGGGCAGGTTTTCTAGAAAAAATGTCCTAGGAAAAATTATGGTAAGTTGATATGGTCATTTTTATTGTGCATTGGAAATTTTTCTGATGCCCTTGAGTAGCCTTCCACAACCTTGGTCCCCTACCCTTCTCAAGCTGGATGAGAAATTTTGGGAGCTGAAGTCTACACATCTGGATAGCACCCAAGTTGGGGAAGACTGACTCAGAAAATAAACTTATTATCTCACATGCTGTAATAGCAGAGTCCTACAAGGGGCAGGATGTTGGACAAGATGATCTCCAAGATATATCTTCATGCACTTTTATTCTATGATCTGTGAATCTGAATTTGGTCTTCAAAAACCATTACAGTGCATAATCACTCTTGGGGAACTATTATCAAAGGATATGCCTATTATTTTTATCATGTGCGCGCACGCATACCCTTGAAAATCAATAATATATAGGTTTCTTGTGGATATTTGCTGAGGATAATCAAATGAAAAATATTCCTTAATATTGGGTTAGTTGGTATCCATCTTCCATTACTAACAAACTCATGAAATGGGCATTTTCCATAGGAACGTTAAACACCTCACCCCTCACTGCATATTTGTGAGGAAGAGGCAGAGATCTCTTAGGCTCTGGTATGTGGAACTTAACATGTAGCCCCAAAGCTCTTCACACTTGCAGGAGTTCTTGGATTTTATTATCTAATGTTGCAAATTGCTATATCTCCTCCCTACTTTTTATGAGAATAGGTTGAATCCAAGTAAAGCTCATCTAGTGAAGTGGGAGGGGGTGAAGCATTTCATTAACTTTCACTGAAATGAAAAGGGTTTCGGTCTTGTTTAGCTCTGGCTAAATTGTGACAATCCTGCCCAGAGCCCTGGTTTGGATGGTTGCATTGGTGTAGAAGGGTGTTGCTGCCTCCGTGGAGGGTAATAGGCTCATTTGCTAACTCAGCACTTCTTCCTTTCCTTTTTAAGATTGCAGGGATCGTTGGGAGAGCTGACCTGTTGTGTGCCCTATTCTTTTTGTTGTCTTTTCTTGGCTACTGCAAAGCATTTAAAGAGAGTAAGTACTTTCCTCCTGAGAATTTTGGGGTAGACTATTCTATTTTGATGATAAACATGAACGTAATGCCTGATAGATGGAGTTTGAAGACTACAGAATGGTTTCTTTTCAGAAATTAGCATACCCAAAATGTTGCCTTGTCTCTCTCACCTCACCTGCACATGAATTAACAGTATTTTAATTAGTGACACTCTTGATTTTCCCATGACTAGTTGGAAGAATCATGGAAATTCGAGGAGCAAGAGTATTACAGCTATGCATAGAAATTACATGTAATTTTTCAGAACTTGTGCTGCAACTGAAATATTTCCTTAGTTTGGGCAAAACTTAAATTTTGTTTTGTTTTTTAGGAAAAAGTAAAGACACCCTTAAGTCAATTTAGGCTCCTGGTGATTGTCTCAGTGCCATTTTCCGGACAGGCTCATGGAAATATTTTATCATTTCTTTTTTCTGGATGTTTTTTGATTTGCAGTCTGGCATACAGTCCTGGAATACTATGGTGGTCTCCAAATCAAGTATTAACCAAGTCCAATCCTGCTTAGTTTCCAAACATGGACAAAGCCAGCCAGATATTTCCACATGCTGAGACTTTTTTTAAAGAAGCCTGTTAACTCTAGGAATACCGTGTGGGCATCTTTAGACTTTCACACACACACGTACATAGATACATACATACATACAGTAGTATGCATTTTATGTACCTGTGCACTATATGATGTACATATGATACTGTGCGTAAATGTTTAGTTAAGATGTCAGCCTGTATCAGATTGCCTTGAGCTTTCCTGTTCTTTTGTTATATAATTTCTTCTAATAATGAACTCAGATTGTTAAATGCCCAACATTTTGGAAGATGCTACCTGAAAACTAAGAAAACATTTTCAACTTAGTGACTTCCTAGATATGAGCCGTGTATACATTTTAGATGATGATGATGATGATGATGATGAAGAAGAAGAAGAAGAAGAAGAAGAAGAAGAAGAAGAGGAGGAGGAGGAGGAGGAGGAGGTGGTGGTGGTGGTGGTGGTTTCTGTGTTAGAGACAAGATAAGAAACACTGACTCATCTCCTTGCCTAGAAAATAAACTTTGGCTTCAGACTGGGTGCCAGAAGAGACAGGAATCCCTTTCTTTGCTGTCCCTTTTCACATGGCAGGTATTTTGTTAGACTACAGCTGTAGTTAGTATTAATGCTTAAGCAGGATAAAACCAGCATATGCCCCTCAGGGTCTCACTCCGCACATCTCCAATGGACTTAGATTCATGGCGATCAGGGGGCATTGAATGAGAGTGAGTAGGACGTTGCTGCTGCCTCAGATTCATCTTTAGCAGCCTCCCTCCTCTCTATTTCCCCTGGCTGCACTCTCTCTTCTCTACCACTGTGTTTTCCTTTTCTGCTACCCCAGGGTTCGGTATCCCTTCACTGCCTTCCCCAGCCTCTGCCCATCCCCTCCCTGCCTCCCTCCCTCACCAGCGCAAGGGCTCAAACAAAAGACACAGCTTTTTAACATTTAAGCTGGCAGAGGAAGCTCTGACTGTGATAGCGCCCTCTAGCAGTCAGAAATAATGCTGCCCCTTTTTGCTTTTCAAACAGAAGGAAGAGGCGACTTGCTTCAGTTTTTTGGTTCCAAAGAAAAAAAGGATGCAGCATTTTTTTCATCAGGAGAAGGAGCTATGCTACCAAAACAAACTTTCAGTCTATGGTGCCCGCTAATGATGAAGGAAATAGCTGCAGGGTTTTTTCGTTCTTTTCAATTGCTGTTATCACATTGCCCAAATGATAACTTCTGAAAATAAAAATAACATATTATAAAATAACATTCAAATGGAATGAAAAATCAAGGTGATAAATGAATCACCCCACTTTTTTAACATGATCCTTGACCCACTGCTCAAGACCAGGGTGGTCCTCGTGTGCCCCTCTCAGATGGTAGAGAAAAACATACTTCTTAACGTTTTCACTGTGGCGTGTCTGTGTGTAATCCTGGTCTTGCTAGCATTCAGGTCATTGCTTCTGAGCGAATCATGGTGTGTCTTGTGTTAAATCCTGAACAAATCCTGGGATAGAAATGAAAAGTCACCCGTTTTATGTCTAACTCTTTTTTTGAAAACAACAAATGAAGTGTTGAAGTCTATTTAGGCTGCAAGTTATGGATGTTCAACATAGTAAGAGCTTCAGGTATGGATGGTCAGCCAAGCCTGCAGCCTAAATAGACTTCTGTCTCATGATGACTTCACTGAAGCATAAAATGAATGTATAAACTTCATGATCTCACAGTATGAATATAATCAAGTTCTATAAGCTAGATTCTTTTCTATAAAATGACAGAAGCACTTGTGGGCATTGTATCTCTTGGAACGGGAATCAAATGCTTGCTGCAAATCTTTGGCATACGTTAAGCTTGTGACCATCTGGTGAGGGTGGCAGAGTGCCTTCCCACAATATGGTGTACCAGTTTAAACTAGGTTCAGGTGCCAACCACAAATGAGTTCCATTCTCTGACAGGAGATCATGGTGGGAGAAACAGCGTAGTTGTCGAGTGTGTGCTTCATTAAACTGATTAACACACTTGGCATGTGTGTATCTTTGGAGTAATAATTGGCACTTTTTTGTTGCTTTACTTTTTCAAAGATTGAGATGCAAAGACTGAGATGTAAAAGCTACATTGATTGTAGTGCTGCAATGTATATCTTGGTTTTTATAGAATACTCTAGCAATGAAAATACTACATGTTCACGGATTTATTGATTTATTTTTTTTAAAAAAGCAAAAATCTCCAATCTTAGCCATAAGGGCATCCAGCTTCTTCAAACTGTGTGGTGGCTTGGAACAGACATGCTGGTTCTGGAAGCATAGATCTGAAAAAGAAATGCTTGTATTTCTCATGTTTTACTCTCTAAAAGTACATCTATCTTGGATGAGCTAAAAGGGTTAGGGCAGTGAAATCGCCTACATAGGTATAGATTTCAGTGTATTTGAAGCATCCTCCACCCTCTTGATTCAGGAGCAGTGTGTTGTCACTGTCTTTCTCGCTGAGTAAGAAAGAAGGACTACAGAAAATGATGGTGAGGACAGCTCGGGGGGGGTTGCTTAGGAAGACAGTACAGAAGTTTTAAATCCATTCTGCAGAAGTATCCAAGTCAGGGCTAGTGGCTGTTTTTAAAAGAAATGAAAAAAGAGCCAACATGTTGTCTAGTTTGGTCCAAAATATTAAAAACATGCCATGAGAACCATGTGTTTTGTACTTAGGCATCTGTAATGGTGCATACTGTGTACAAAACTAAGTATCTTTATCTGGGTCCGGACATTAGTGGCATTTGAAGAGATGGAGAAAGAAAAGGAGCTACAGTATTGTGGTTCTGGGGAGTTCTGGGTAGGTTACTGTAATCAAAAGCCTTTAGTGAGAAAACTATTGTAGCTGAAATATTTTCTTTAATCTTTGAATGGTTTGATAGATAATGAAAGCTATGTGCAAAGTACTGTCTTTTCTAAAAAACTGACACTGCAGTCTAATCTGTTAAAAGCTTATGTGCAAAGCAGAATTTGTTTTTATTAATAAGCAGTAATTTTTTAACAATATAGATATGCTTGCAAAGTCCTTACTACACATCCCACCCAAGAAAAACAGGTAATGTTTTCTGTCTCTCTAAGCATTATGAAAGTAACTGAAGAAGCAATCATTTGAACGTTGAGTTTTATTTTGCCACCAGAAATACCTCTAAATATCTGTATAGATTGTCCGTTTTAGTCTTTTGTCTTCTCTTTTAAAATTGATAGATAAAGAAGGATCCCAATTTTCTACTACTTGGGTTTTGCTGAGTGTTCTCCTTGGCACTATGGCTATGCTGTGCAAAGAACAAGGAGTTACAATACTGGTAATTTTAACATTTCTTGGCAATTTAACTCAGTTCAGTGATAACTACAATGTCATATCACAAAGCATGCATTTCTTATGTGTTTGTACCTTACTTAGGGTTTCTTACAATCTCAGCAACTTTTCTTTTTGTTTATTGATTTCTGGTATGAACATTTTCAAAAGATGCGTTGCTGCTCCCCCTTGTTAATTATTACTCTTACTGTCATTGGACAATGTGGTTTGGTCCATACATTGCACTAAACCATATTTTGTTTTAACTGTGGTTGGCTACATTGACAGAGATATGGGTTTTCTGGAAATTTGTGGAAATGTTCCTGTGCAAATGACTATGATTCCAGTTAGTTTATTTATCTCACTATCCATAGCTTGCAGAAGTATTTGGGTTTCATAATTTGATGTGAAAAAAAATAATTCTAGCCTATTTTATGAGATTTGAACAGTACATTTCAAAAAATGTAAAAGCTTTGATATGTGGAGAAAAAATATTTTTGTTAGGATGTTGAGCAATAGATCATAAAATATCATACAGCCTTGAAATTATGAAACTTGCTTTGGTGGGAAATATTCTGGCTCATATTTCTGATACTGACACAGTATGCTGTGCTATAAACAATGATTTATAAGCCACAGTGACTGGATTCATCTGTTACAACCACATCATGATTTAATCTCAGTATGTATAACCAGCCTTTATATCTATAGTAGCCTTCCATTACCTAATATTTTCCAGTTAAGTTGGGATCAACTTCCAGAATTCAAAACCAGCAATTTCTGGTTAATTCAAGGCATTCACCTTTTGCTCCAGTTCAGACTGTCTGTTCAAAGATTTATTGGTTTATCGTATATTTTAATCAATTTAAAATAGTGACGCTGTGTAGCTAAGATAGAGTTTAAAAAACTCTCAGTACAAAATAATAATATAAGAAACACATAATGGCAACTCGGGACAACACCTATCAGCAGTAAATTAGCATCACCTCACGGGCTCAACTAACCTCCCGACCCCCATTACCCAATAATGATTTAGGAAGGATGAAGCCAGAGATTTTTGAAGAAAGTGAAGGCTTTTCTTTTCACTTGACAGCAGTCAGCTCTTCTATATTGTATGCAGATTTGGGAAATTGTGATTTGCTTTATCCAAATTTAGATTAAACTAGGATCAAACTCTTTTGACAACTGATTACAGCAAACCATACTTTCCCAGTATATGAAACTGAAGTTTCCTCCAAAGTAAAACTGGAAAAGAAGTATTCTGTTTGGAATGTGTTAAATGCCTAAAGATAAATCTATAAGATGATTTTTTCTGTAAAATGGTTGGAGTCATTAGGGAATATTCCCATATATACAGTAGAGCTCAGTGTTTTCATGGTCATCCTAGAGATTAACTTGATTATCAGATATGTTGTGAGTCCTTAACACTGACTAAAAGGGGCTCTTTCTGAATAACGGCTTCTTCTATTTGCTACACAAGTTGTGGGTTTTTATTTACAACTTGTCCTTTTTTCAACGTCTCACATAGCAATAACTAAGACTACAATCCTCTCCTATGTCATCTGGAAGTAAGTCCCACTAAAATCAGTGAGACATTCCTGATTTGAGATGGATAGCACTGCACTTCACGACTTTTATACTTCTGAGTATAAGGCTGCATCCTTACCAAACTCTAAACACCACTAAATAGAGTTGATTTTATCCTGGATAAGCTTGCACACACAGACACACACGCATTTATGTTATTCCAGAGAACTTTTACCATAAAAAGTGGCTCAGAAAAGGTGTTTAATAAACTTACTGTGAAATAATCATAAATATGAAATACTGCATATTTTTCCAGAATATTTTTTTTTACTCCCAGCTTTACATATCATACATATTGCTAAATTATACATATCTTCCTTCTCTTTTTCTTAACTCTTTCTTCTGTATTTTTAGGGTTTAAATGCTCTGTTTGATGCTGTCGTGATCAACAGGCTTAATATTTTGGAAGTTATTTTGAAGATACTTCATAAAGACAAGTCAGTAGAGGTAAGTCCATTCACTGTTAGATTGAATAAGATATTTTATGAGATATATCTTCTCATGCAGTCACAGTTTAAATGATAGCATCAAGAACAGAAGGTTATAACATGAACATTCTTAAAGCAGTGTGGCATACTATTATTCAATTCAATAAATGAAAATGCTGGAAAACAAATACTATTTAGAACATTTCCTTCAAAAGAAGATTATTTCCACCCTTATATTACATACTATTCTTTGACCATGATTGTGAATGCTACTAAAACTACTTGATCAAATTGATCATGTGGCCTCTTCTCAGAATATCATAATTACATCCTTTCAAATTTCTGCAGCTTAACTTTCAGGATTCATTTTCTTCCTGCCAGTTCCATACCTAACCTTCCCACTCTCTGTCCCATACAAAGCAGACCTTATCTGAAGTTTTCCAGAGATTATATACTTTGATGCCTGTTTTCTTCATCTGTGTACCTGCCATCCACTGTTCCCTTACCATGCGAAAATCTCCTGTTTTTATTCTACTGTATCCTGCTGCATTCAGCTTTTAGCTCTATGCCTATCTCTTTCCATGCATGAATATTTATATGAATTTAAGTGATTTTTTTCTCCCGGTGCTCATTTACATCAGCATTCCTCCTGTATAATCTGCCTTCAGTCACCCTGCTTCTGGGCTACATGTCTGCAGAGATCTCTTCCTACTCAGCTTTCTGGATTTCAACCTCCCAGCCTCTCTCTCTCTGCTTCCCTCTCTCCCTCTTTCTCTCTGGAGTTCGTCAACCAAATGTCTCACAGATGTGCCTGTTAGGAATTCATGGTTTGTTAGGAATTGAATAGAGGAGCATTTAAGTATGTTTGTAAATGTTCCATGACAGCACAATAATTAAGAGTCTCATTGTTTCAATGTAATTGTGATTACATCATGCTATAAGTGACAGAACAGTTCATCTGTTTCTCAAGATTCTGTGGATTAATTAGGATAGTTTTTGCAATCTGAAATACAGAATTCTGTCATAACAAGATATTCAAAAGATTTACGACAATACTGTAATGCTTCAGAAGGACATCATGTTAACAACTAGCCTATCACAAAATGTTGTCCAACTGAGTTAAATAAATGTCTTGATTATTCCAGTCTTGCTTCCACTGCATTGTTTCTATTTATTTCAATGGAATTTACCTCCAAATAAAATGATAGTTGGAATCAGGATATTAAATTTAGGAATAGAATACATACACCCCACACCCAGAATTGAATACTTTGGATCTTTCATTATAGCTGAGAAGTTCCTGCAACTCAGAATATTAAACATCCCTGTCCAAGGAATGAAATTAGGCATTGCGTATAATGCAAGGAGTATGATTTTCCATAAAAGTGCACATGGATTGGACATAAAGGTTCTGAGTTGAAATCCAAAACATCTGGAAAGCAACAGTAGAAGACATCTTGTCAGCCTTTAGGGGAGATTTGCTTCACAAAACAGATTCTGATTGCTGTTGTGGAGGGCATCAAGTAGGTTGTTGTATTCTCACCAGTAGATCAGACAACAGTAGCACTGCATATTTTATTTTACCTCACACTTCAATCAGATTGTATGACCTACTGGGGGCCAAGTTTGGTAAACAGTAAAAAATTAAAGATCACATATAGCTGAATGTTTTTAAAAAGTACCGAATTAAGTATCATATCAAAGCTTTAATGTGACATCTGTCCACAGCTTTTGAAACCTGACTGTTACTGTAATATTGGCATTCTTCCTTGATTAATTTGTTTTCTCAGTTATCAAATGCAGTGAACTAGCAGTATCAGACAACTGCCAGATGTCATATAGCATTGCATGTCATCTAGCAAATTCAAAATATTATAGAATGTCTGCTATTAATGTCAAATACTAAACACTATTGATATCTTCTGTCAAATAAAATAAAAAAATAAATATCATTCCAGGCTACTGTTGAATTCTGTTACATGACAGCTATAAATATTTTAAATATCTGTTGAAATGCAGAGGCATATTTTTTTCAAATTATGAACAGATAAAGCAATGACAATACTATACCATGTTTATTTTCATATGCATTCACACAGACATATCTGAAATAGGTATATTAATATATGTAGAAAGTAGTCTTAAATACATACGTTTAAAAAAAACCTTAGCAACCTAACAAATAATATTTCTACCAAATTTCCTTCTAAAAGTCTTCTCTGTTGATTTTAGTAGAACTGGAGTCTTTTGTTTTGTTGTAAAGCTTATGAAGTAGATGAACATTACAATTTGTAGAATTATTTCTTAATGTTTCCTATTGTGCTGCAGTACTACAAAATAGAATGCTTGTTTTTAATGACATTTTATACTACCCAACAATCAAGCCAGTGTACAAAATGTACAGATCAATAAAATCAAATAATATCAACATAAAATCAACCAGCAGTAACATCTAAACAGAGGTTTTGATAAGGAAGAGTTACATTTCTATATCCTTTATGGCAAAGGAATAGCACTAATATGATAGATGCCTCCCAAACTTTGCTACTCCCATACAGCTATGGAATTTAATTTGGGCCCTGATCCAAACCATGACACCCATCCATTCCTGCTAGCTTTCTGGAAGGCCCTTAAACCATGGTTCTTCCAGCAACCTAGGGGATCCCATGGGGAGTCTGTAAGATGGCTGTATTATGGTTGTTATTCTCCCACAATCTTGGTTTTTATTTATGTTTAATTGTTTTAATGGTTGTTATATTGTTTTTAATGAGAGCCAGTTTGGTGTAATGGTTAAGGCATCAGGCTAGAAAATGGGAGACCATGAGTTGTAGTCCTGTCTTTGGCACAAAACCAGCTGGGTGACCTTGGGTCAGTCCCTCTCTCGGTCCTAGGAAGCAGGCAGTGGCAAACCACTTCTGAAATCTTGCCAAGAAAACTGCAGGAACTTGTCCAGGCAGGTGCCAGGAGTCAAAACTGACTTGAAGTCACTCCCTCCCCCCAAAAAAACTGTTTTTAACTGTTGTTGGTTGTACCCCGCCGAGTCACATTTAGTGAAATGGGTGGCTATATAAATTTGCTAAATAAATAAATGACATCACTGATTCTTCAAGAATGGGAAGAAAAGCCCCCCCCCCAAAAAAAAGTTTGCTCAAAATTTTCAGATTTGGAGAGAATTTAATTTTCATTTATTGCAAATGCTCATTAAAGACCACTCTTTTTTAGGGGGGCATTTTTTAAAAAAGGAAAAACATTTTTTAAAACAGTTACAGTATATTGGATTCTTTTAAATGAGATTTTAAAACTTTTCTTAAAATGTTTTATAAACAAATGCACAAACAGAACCAAATTCTGTCCTATTGTACTTACTAATGGTAAATAAGAGATAAGACTGGGTAAGTGACCTCTCTTACATTATGGCAATATTATCATCCAAACATCCTTAACAATTAATTGGACTGAAGGTTGTTGAGTTCCTAATGATTTCACAAGTGTCTCTTTGTATGCTGCTAAGACCACTGTTCCATTTTTAAAAATTATTGTTAGTTGAAAAACTAGTTGATATGTATTTTTGAAAACATCCAAATCTCTCCAAGTACTAAAGAATATATATTTAGCTTATATCAAACAAAAGTGAGTTTTTACTGCAAATGCTGATTACCAGAAATTTTTCAACTACTGAATAAACAATGGTTTAAGTGATTAAGTTGAGGCTTACTGACTAGCAATTTTAATAATTATTATTTAAATTGATTTGATTTAAATCACATTTACCCTGCTTTATTTATTAAGTCTGTACCCCATTTTTTTTTTCCACCCTGGAGCACATAAATAAATTATGAACTCCAAGGTCTCCAATATTAGTCTTAATCTCTAATCATTACACACATGGCCACTGTGACTTTTCTGCCGTTCCATGAAAATGTTGAATACAAGCACAGTTCACAATTCAGAAGATGCCCTGAAATTGATGGAGCTCTTTTGAGTAGCACGGTTTCCTTGGTTAGTGCAGTTAAGCACAGACCTTTTGTGGATTCATAACCTGGCGCACTCAGAAGAGCTTGGAGCTGAAACACTATCATCTTTTTTTTTCTGCAATTTTTCCCATTTTTACCCAGTCCATGAGTACTTATCTGCTATGTTTCAATTTTTTAAGAGCAAAAAAAGCAGTTAACAACTTGGAATTTTTTTATTTTTTCCTTGATTTTTTATTTTTTCCTATTCTTTGTAGAGCCTAGTGGTGTTTAGAAAAGGACTTCTTTTCAGAATGACTCTTTTGTTATCTGGAGGAGCCACCATTCTATATGCCCGCTGGCAAATTATGGGCACAGGGCCACCAGCATTTACAGAAGTGGATAACCCAGCTTCGTTTGCAGCCAGTCCATTTGTAAGGGTAAGCTGGTAAAATGGGGCTTTGCAAAGAGTTGTGGACATTAATGGTTGTTCAGAAAATCAGGCAGGAGCACGGGGTGGTGATACAGCAAATGCTTTGCATGTACTGAGTTCCCAGTTCAATCCCAGCAATGCCAATAATAGACAAGATGAGACTGGGTGGACCAGGATCTCATTTGGCATAAGGTGGTTGTGTAAGTTTGTATCGGGCATCGTGGGGGGCGGGTTGAAATGAAAGAAGTGAAAACTAGAGGCAACAACCCCGATTGAAGTTCTTCCCCTTTTTAATAACACATGTGCAAGGAGCTTGGCTCCAGTTGCATGGTCACAGTGGCCATCTTGACTTTTTGAGCCCCCCATGGAGGCCTCTGATTCTGTCAGCCTTACCAGATAGACTAGACAGGAAACATTACCAGATAAGCTAATTCTATTTTTATTGTGAAGCTACATTGACAGAATCTTGCAAGTCTGAAAGTACAATTCTCCCGCTGCCCCCTTTACAGCCCGAGAAACTAGGGAGGGTTCCTTCTGAGCCTCTTGCCCCACCCTCTATCCAGCTGTGGGCTGTGCTGCCTCTTATCTGATCATTCCCTAGGCAGCCTCTCTTCACCCTGTCTCCCAAGGTCTTCCCCACATACCACAACAGATTCACGCCTACTTCTTTCTTAACCTTCCAAGGAGCAGTATTGATCTTGGCCTGCAAGGTGGTTCTAATCACACTGAGATAACATTAGTTTACTTACGTTTGACCAGCCGGTGGAGTCTCCGTGAAGTCTCTTTGATTCGATTCAGTTTAAATAGCTGAAGTTGCTTCCCTGAAACTCAGATGCCTGAAAAAGTAGTCGTAAAATGTTGATTCCCCTCCCTGTTTTTGATGTTCCCACACCCTCTTACATAAATGTTTTCTTTTTTCCTTTCACTGACAGGCTGTAAATTATAATTACTACTATTCGTTGAATGCTTGGCTGCTGCTGTGTCCCTGGTGGCTGTGTTTTGATTGGTCAATGGGCTGCGTGCCCCTTATTAAATCAGTCGGTGACTGGAGAATAATTGCCCTGGTGCTTCTTTGGCTCTGCCTGATTGTGTTGGCGTGCCAAGCTTTGGGCTCGAAAGACAGCCAGAAGAGAAGGTAAATGCGGGTCAGCATGTTAAGGTTCTCCTGTGTTGGTAAGACATGATTGCATGACATCTAGTGCCGCTCTTCTTTGTTAATGAATTGGTGGAATCAATATCCTTTAGCAAATGCAGTGCAAATAAATATTTATAGCTGGCTTGCAGTCCCTCCCCAATCTGGGCCCATCTTTTCTTCCACTTGCTATGGGAAGGAAAACTTGGAGGGAAAAGCAGCTGCTTTATCTTCCTCCTGAGAGGACATTTTGAGCTCCTTAACTCTGTAGGAGGTAAAAAAATAATTTGTGCTCAGAATAACATATAATTGATCTGTGATGTTTTCAACACCGTTTCTTTGGCAAAACAAAAAAACAAATAAGAGAGGCTTAAAAGGAAAGTATTGATATTGGCTGTGTTATTGTTAAATAGAATTCTGCCCCAGAATGATTACTCTTTTGTTGGTAAGCAGATCCAGGGAAAATAATAGGAAAAAATCCCGTCATTTTAAAGAAATAGAAGTTGCTTGAAAGAGTTGAGTTGTTAAATAATTACAGATATTACAGGTACACCTCTGTGTTGATTAGATAATCAGTAATAACTAAATCTTTACTCTTTCATCTGCAACCGTTTTAATTGGCAAAAGTGACTGGGGTTCAGATCAGACATTTTCGGTGAGCATTTGCTTTGTTTCAGATTGCCTCTTTTTTTTAAGGAAAAAGTATTATTTTAAAAATAATTCACACATGCATCACAGTGCTCTGAATAATAGCACTTCACGTGCATTATTGTATAGTCCCACAACAAACGTGCAAGGAAGGATTATCCTGATAACGCAAGTGAAAGGAAAGTGGGCGGATTGCTGGGAAGGAATTGAAAACTTTCCTTCTATGAGCTTTCTTGAGTTTATTTATTGTACACTGTTAGCCCCATTTGAAGTCAGTCACCCTCTCCCAAAATCTCCACTGTCCCATCCCACATTGCTTAGGAGGGACCCCTGCTTCTACAGAGAGGTTTTTCAATGGACAGAGAGACCCGAGGATAAATAATTTAGTTTACTTATCTTAAGATCCGTCCATCCACGCAGACGTCGTACTTCCTGCACTGCAATTTTTTTACTCTAGACACCTCAGATTTTTTTTTCTTCACCATATTATGTTTGGCAGATATTTACATTTTCTTTGATGCTGATATTTTTCTAAGCCATCAAAATGTTTTTTTCCAGGTATATGTTCCTGGATAATATCTAGGACTAGTCTTTAATATCCCTGAATCATTAAAAGGAAGTAACTGGATTTTGGCAGTTGATCTCTTGTGCTTTGTCATCTGAAATCCTACACATTGGTGTGGTGGAGAAAAAACACAATGGAGCCATGATCCATGATAAAAAAAAGAATAATGAAAAAAACCTTGTAAAACCTGTGATACTCATAGTTAAATAGCAGTCATACTGTAGAGGCCTTCTACAGAGATAACAGTTTCTTCACAATAAGGAGGATAGATTCCATCTTCACCTTCAGGTTTGCATAATTAGAATTATTAGATTGAATCACTTTCTTCTAAATGGCTTGTAATGCTTTAACACTGAGGTTCAGGACCATGCAGAGAAGCCTATGTGACTTTCCCATGATAACTCTGTTCTTTCTGGGAAATGGGCACATAGACAAATGGCAGTGTGTGTACAATGGCATAATGACACAAAGCTTGCTGTTAGGAACTGATGTCCTGAAGTTTGACATTAGTACGTTAGTTGTGGTATGTTAGTTGTGGTATCACACTTGCCCCCCCTTCCTCCCCCATGGACACTTAATGGCACACATGGAAAAGAGCCATACAGTTATGGATTTTTGATTACTGAACCCCACTGAAGGACCCGTGATACCAGAGCTTCCAACTGGCAAAGATAGGGCTGGATGTTAGATATCTCATTCTAAATTTAGATTGGAATTGTTGTATCATAATAATGTAATAAGAATTTTGTTACATGTTCTAATTTTTTTTCCCCCCCTGCATTTCAGAATTCTTACCCTGGGACTGGGATTTCTCATCATTCCTTTTCTTCCTGCAAGTAACCTATTCTTTAGAGTTGGGTTTGTCATTGCAGAGAGAGTCACCTATCTCCCCAGTATTGGCTACTGCATTTTGATTACCTATGGATTCTGTCTGTTGTGTAAACAAGCTAAGAAAAAGGTATGAACAACATTATTCTCATGGTTGGCAAAATGGAAAAGAGCTTTAAAAGTTGAGGTTCTTAATATCTGTCTTATTTCTCCAAGAAATGGCTGGTTGCTGCCCTGCTGGGTCTCCTACTGATCAACATGTGGCGTTGCATCCTCCGGAGTAACCAATGGAGATCTGAGGAGCGGCTTTTTAGAAGTGCTTTGTCCGTTTGTCCACTGAATGCCAAAGTAAGCTTTTGCATTTTCTAAAAATGATAATTCTATTATTTTATGATGGTAAATCGTTATAATTTCTGGTATTTGCTTCTTGCACAATCACATTGGGTTACCTGAATTATTCTCTATTATATCAGCAGTTTTAGTAATTGAAACGGTGCCTAAACTTTTAGTGAAGGCATTTATTCCTATTGATTTCTCTTAGTTCAATTGTTTTCTGTATAAATTTTCATTATATCATTTCCTAATTGGAAAACAGGACTATAGGGAGAAAAATCCTATAGGTTCTATAAAAGGCCCAAGGTCGCATTAAAACTGCATTTATTACGAAGAGTGAGTAATGTTTCAACCCTTATTTAGCGAGCTAGTTGCTGTGTTAATGATCGCTAATAAGAATGACAACAGACTCATATTTCTTGAGTAGCAAAACTAGAACACCTTCATTGGGTGTTTTAGAGAGAGGGTGTCACACCCAATTTTATTGATTGGATGCAGGCACACTACTTAGCACAGTCTTGACTTCTGAAATGCCACAGGCCTGTTGCCTGAGTTCTAGCTTTGCCTTCAGGCCTTAAATATAGCAATAATGATATACAACTTCATTGATAACGCCCATTTATGAAAGAGAAGTTCCTGCCTTGATATTTTAAAAAATGAACAACAGTAATGGGGATTAAATGCTGGGAAGTGTTTTCCTTAAGTTGCTTATTTCAAGTAGATTGGATTATTTTGCTTCTCCATCACTAGAATTAATTATTTAATTTGAATATTGTTGCATTCCGACTTAGGTAAAAAATTATAAGGAATACACGTTCTTTTGTGATGTAGTGTTGTGTATTTGGGTGCACAGCCACCACTTGCGTAACACTTTTTAAAAATGATATTAATAAATGCAGTGAACAAGTGGCTTTGGGGTATGTGTATCCCTTTTCTTGCAGGCCAACAGCTTCAAATGCTGCTTTATACACTTTTCAGTCTGAACGTTCTGCTCATAGGAAGGGTCCATGGATAAATTATACCATTTTACTTCTAAGCTTAACAGTTCTGAAGCTGGTATCCTCAGGACTGAATTGGTACTGAGGATTTTGTTGACTCTAACATTTAATAGCATGAATGCGGCTAAGATGGTTGCAGATAATTCAAGATACGTGTCGTTTGTGCAGACATAATGTTTCTTTGGACACTGGGTCAGTCCCCAGTTTTATGCATTATTAAAAGCAATTGGAAGTGGTTAATAAAATTGTTAATAAAGTATTGCGTTCACCTGGCAAGGATACTGTATTATCTCCATCCTCCTCTCATTACGGTTGCTTATGTCTCAAATGTGAGCAGCAGAACTGCTACTTTTCTGTCTTAAGTCTTTGTCTACAATATGGCAGAAGGCAGGCTAACAAGAGAGAATCTGGAATATAAGGTTCAGTATGAACAAAGAGAGATATTGTAAATCAGTTCAAAATAGAAAAAAATTGTTCCGGTTCTGTAAAGAGCTGGGACTCTGTCTTAGACTGCCACATCCAGCAAAAGATTTTCCCCCTTAGTGTTCCATAGCGATAAGGGCACATAGAAGCAATTATAGTACATATCTGTTGTATCTGGCACTGTAGATTAATATTCCCTGATACAGGGAACCCATTTTCAGTTTAATTTGGGGTGCAGCTCCCACCAAGACAAAATGTGAAAATATAAATACTGTACATACATAGACTCAAAGACACAGCTGAACTTAGTCTTTTATTTTTTGCTGCAGAAAGCAAAAATGCAGAAATTCATTCACAGAACCTGCGCATGTAACTCCTACTTTTCTTAATTACAAAGGTTGTGGTTCTTATTTAGATTTAATTTTGAAACCCTAACGTTTATTTGAGAGTGGCTACATGAGGGGATAAAATTATAGAACAAACTGAAAATACAGTAAGTTTTAACTTGACATAAGCATTACAGCCAGTTGTCAATATCAGCATCAGTTTGATTTTCATTTCAGGATTACTTGACTTAGATCTGTAATCAAGATGCAGTCTTAGTCGTCGCTTTCTGAATAGTATCTCAGTTCATATCATGAAAGAACAGGTTCCATAATATTCAAACTATAGGCATTGAGAACTTTTTTCATTCTCTAACAAATTCCAGCATGGATAGCTGATGGAAGAAAACCTTTATATATATATAATATGTCACCTTTATGTGCCTGGGCTTTCAAACAAGCTAGAACCCCACAGAATCTTAGCTTGCTTGGAAACTAGGATGCATACAGATGTAGCATGGAGGCTTTTCTCCTGGAGTTGTCCACCCTGCATCCATGAATGTTTCAAGAAGGATATGGTCATTGAAAGTGGTGGTGGGCGGGGATCAGCTTTATAAGTCATGTGAAATGTTTCTAATATATGAATGGTGCTATAGGGCCTCTACACTTACAGCTAAATGCTCTTCTCTCAATATTCTATAGGGTTTTTTTTTCTCCTAGCTATTGTTTTAGCAAGGACAATTACATCTGTCTCTTGCATGATAATCTATTTTTCAGTAGACATACCAAATATCATGATAAAATATTTGAATAAAAAATACATATCTTTTAAATTTTTTACAATAATCCAGATCAAATTTCTATAAACTGAAAGTCATATGCATTGAAAGAAAATTATTGCCTTAGAATAATGTAGTTTTGACCTTTACTTTCAGGTCCATTATAATGTTGGCAAAAACTTAGCTGATAATGGCAATCAAAGTGCTGCAATCAGCTATTACAGAGAAGCTGTAAGGTATGGGTGATTTGGAGTGTTTTTTAATTTGTTTATGAGCTTGTTTCTAAAAAGCAGAAAGCAGATACAAGATAATGATCTGACCATCAGAAAGATCATTGGCAGTGATAATGGAATACTGTACAAAATACAGAAAAAATATATTAGTTTAAGAAAATACATTCTAAGCCATGGTTTGTTTTAACTATGACTTGTTGAATGAATAATTATAGTTTAGTTCATACTTAACACTAAACAATATACCATGGTTTATAAATTACAGTGGGTGGGTTTTTGTATTGCACTGAGGTAAAACCAGTTTAAAAAAAAAACAGTAAAACTGGCTTAGCAGAATTTGGACACTAAGCCAGTGATTTAAAAATGTTGGTGATATGGCCCAGGAAAAATACTTTTTAAAACACCAACTGTGTTTAATAGATAAAACTATGTATCTGTACAATTTGAAGACGAAGTTTGAATGTTGACACCACATTTTATTATTGGAATGTGTATGACAATGATATGAACAGCTGATTGAAGGACAGTTATGTGCTGGAAGTGGCATGAAGTTTCAGAATTATTGTAAACAGTGTAGAAAATATTGGCTATTCTTTTATTTTGCCATTACAAAATTGACTTATAGACACATGAAAGAAATGAGTTGACTTTTAAAAAGATAAAATAATGGGGATGTTTAGTTCCAGTTTTTAATTAATGGTGAAGCTATGCTTTCTAGTATTGTCCTTAATAAAACCGTTAGCAAGCAAGCATTGCTGAGATCAAAGCCAGACTACCCAAAAAGTACATGAAAACAATTGCTTTTGGGGAGCAAATTTTGGGGAGAGAGGTTTTCCTTCCTCTCTATCTTGTTTGTTTTGATTTTGGGAGGGATTTTTTTTTAGTAGTCCAGTCCTGAGTGGGCTGGTGAGGGCAGTTTAACACATGCTTGAGGGTGTTTATAAATGCCTACGTCTGCTTTGATTGATATAAAAATGACAGGCGGAAGAGAAGAATTGCTG